TAGTCCCCTCACTTATTTGTGTTATAGTTGTAGTTTTAATAAAAATGCAAAAAAAAAATCCCCATTGGGGAGCAAAAAAAAATTTTTTTAGCCTGGGTGGGGAAGAGAAGTTAACTATGGTCCCTGCCACACGGGGGGAAATTGAGGCAGGCAAAGGGCAGCTTTTAAAAGCCGCATCAAAAGAGACACACGGCAGCGGGATCACACAGATCCCGTGAGCCGCCGCGCAGTTGCTCACCGGCACGATCAGATGCCGGGGAGAAAGCCACGGAAGGGAGCGCGAGGCTGCTGGCTGCGCATGTGTGCGGGTGCGCAGTTCGGCTGGGAGCCTCGATTGCTCCAGAAGACAGGTGCTCTGGCGATCCGACGGCCGCATTTGCTGCAGTGTTTCCAGTAAGTCCTGCTCTGTAGGTGTGTTTTTTTACAGTGGATTTTCGGCCTGAAGGGCCGGATCGGGGACGGGTGCACACCGCTTCCCAGATGTTGCGGTTTGATGGCGCCCGTTTTCTGCGCCCCCGATCCATCCCTCTTCCGGCCCTAAACCTCCCATGTGACCAGGGCCACACACTACAAAAAAAAACACCCTTCTAGTGGGTTTCCATAAATCAGCTGTTATTTGATGGCCAAAAATAAGGCATTACATGATTTCTGGGTTTTATAGCTTTATAGTTATTTGGTAAAGCAATGTGGCCCCTTTCAAACTTATTTCTTTAGTACATTTTTATCCCACCCTTCCTCCAAGGAGAAGAAGGTGGCATAAATCTAGGGATGCCAATCTCCAGATGGGGCCTGGCGATCTCTAGGAATCTGATATCCAAACAACAGAGATCCCTTCCCCTGGAGAAAATGGTTGCCTTAGAGGATGGACTGAATGGCATTATACTCCCCTGAGTCCACTGAGGTCCCTCCCTTCCCCAAACCCCACCCTCTCCAGGCTGCACCCCAAATCTCCGGGATCTTCCCAAGCCTATACCAGTCTCTTCTCCTCCATTCTACCCTCACAACAACCCTTCAAGGTAGGTTGGACTAACAAATGGCCCAAGGTCACCCACTGAGCTACACGAAACAGTGAGGATTTGAATCTTCTTCTTCTTCTGCCATCAAATTGCAACTGTTTTAGGGCAACCCCTCATGGGGTTTCCAAGAGATGAGCAGAGGTGGTTTGCCCACTGCCTTGCCTCTGTGCAGCAACCCCTTGTCTTCCATGGTGGTCTTCCCTCCAGGTACCAAGCATGGATGACCCTGCTTAGCCTCCAAGGCTGCACTGGGCTTTAACCACTCTAAGCCCCGGTCACACAGAAGATTTTGGCCCGGGAGAGGGACGGATCAGGGGCGCAGCAAATGGGCGCGATCTCACCACAACGTCTTGGAAGTGGCGCACACCTGTCCCCGATCTGTCCCTAAACCCGGGAAAGCCACTGCAAAAAAGAACCTCCTACAGAGGAGGACTTACCTGAAGCACCACTGCAAGCGTGGCCGTGGGATCGCCGCTGCGCCCGTCGTCCGGATCAATCCAGGCTCCCCGCCGAACTGTGCATACGCACACATGCGCAGTTCAGCTGTCGCGCTCTTTCTTCAGTGGCTTCCCCCCGTCATCTGATCGTGCCGGGGAGGAAGTGCGTGGCGGCTCAGGGGGTCTATGTGATCCCGCCGCCATGTCTCTCTTTTGGTGCGGCTTTAGAAAGC